CCCGCCCCCTCGCGGACGCCGCGCGGGCGTGCACGCGCGCAGCTTCGCGACGGAGGACGGGCCTGAGGCGGGCCCCCGCCAGCCTTGGCCCCGATCGACGGCGAGAGAGGGGGGGGGGAAGTGAGGAGGAGAATGCCTTCTCAAGGGCAGCGAGACGTGCCCGAAGCCCTCGCGCCCTCTGAGAGGTGTTCTGCATCTTCGGGGGAGGCTCAGTCGGGGGTCCTCTGACCCGGGTCAATCCAGACCCGGGTCAGTCAGGCCTTGCAGAATCCTGCAAGATCCTGCACCCAAACCCGGGTCAATGCGAAGGATCCTGCAAGATCCTGCAGGATCCTGCACCCAAACCCGGGTCAATGCGACCCTGGCCCTGCAGGATCCTGCAAGGTCGGGGCGCTCTGGCTGACCCCCGTTTGCGTTGACCCCCGTCTCAAGGCTCCCGACTCAGGGCGCTTCTCGGAAGGCCGGCGGGCTTCCGAGCCTTCCGAGAAGGCCCGCCCCTGCTCACTTCCACCCCCGGGCTCGCCGCCGACCCGAGGCCAAACCACACTGCTCGCTCCGAGCCTCCCTGCTCGCGCGTTCTTGAGTAGAAGAAGTAGAAGAAGAAAGAGATGATGAAGAAAGTCGTAAACATAAACGTTTGGCGCTCCGCGCGGATTTCTCGGATCCGCGCTGGACCCCCCTCCCTGGCGCGCGGAGCGCGCGGAGCGCGCCAGGGGCGGCGCCAGAGGCGCCGCATGGGGGGCCCAACGCGGATCAGAGAAATCCGCGCGGAGCGCCAAGAAGTGTATGTGTATGCCGTTGTTTCTTCTTCGACTCCCTGCTCGCACCGGGCGCGCGTCCTTTGGGGACCGCATGCAATCTGACGCGCTCGGGCGTCGGTGACCCCACCTCCAAGACTGCCCAGCTCAGTGCAGCATGGGTGGCTGCAACGATCGGGTCGGACGAGAGGGGGGCCGGTAACTACATGTTGGGTCGGGCATGTCCTCCTGCATGCGGATATTTAAAGAAAAGCAGGAAATAAACCAAAGAATGTTCAGCAACAGAAATCAAAAGATCGCCCCCAGGCTATGCGTTGACTCTTCCTGAACACTCCTCCCTGAGAGGGACATGCCTGGCCGAAAACTAGAGGGGCGGGAGGGGTCAGCGGCGCGCCTCGCGCAGCTGGCCTTCCCAGCGCTTTTGAAGGGGCCCCAGGACACACACATAAATACACACAAATAAGAATATCCCCAATATTTTCCTATATTTTCAAGGGTTTTGTTTTCCCCCCCATTTCCCATATTTTCCCATTTCCCATATTTCCCCATATTTTCTAGGAACGGACGATTCATTGTGTCTGTGTGCTTTTCTCCCTCCTGAGCTTTTCCCGACGCCGGAGGCGCCAGGCCCCGCAGCCGGCCTCGGGAGCCATGCCGAGAAGCACCCTGCTTGCCTCCAGGGTGCCCTGGGCTTCTTGGGTTTCGATGGTCCTGCTGTGGGAAGCAGGGCTGGCCCTAAACGTTGTGATTCGTTCTGTGCTCGGTCTGTTCTTCGTTCTGCTCTACCTGCTTTCCTGCACCTCCCTGCCAAAACGAAGAACACGACACGGCCGAAGTCCAGCGAAACAGCGCTCAGGTCCAGTCCTGGTGGAAAGCGTGACGTCCCCACGCCAAAAATCACAGGAGACCGTTTTTTCTTGAATCGGCGATAACCTGGGTTATCTGGGGAGGGGGAGGAAGGGACCATCCGATAACCTAACCTTCAGGCTGTGGACAGCCCTGCATATGCCCGCGCCCCCCCCCCCACCCCGGACCTGCACAACCGGCGAGCTCAGGTTATCCTTTTGGGGTGGGGGGGAGGGGGGCAAGCCAGATAACCCGGGTTATCGCCAGACCCTAACAAAAAACAGTCTCCAGGACGCCCTGGGGGTTCCAGGGTTAGGTGTCCTGCGGAGGGTTTCTTGCGGTCGAGCCCCTACCACACGACAGCTGCTGCATGCAGCGGGCCTCGGCCCCGCCGCCGAGCACTCCCCTCGACACGCCGCCGGAGCTGGCAGAATCAGCCGCGAGAGCCCGGCGGCGGGGCCGAGACCGGCTGCCACGCCATGAGCCCCACCCTCCTCCTCCCCCTCCTCCCCCTCCTCCCCCTCCTCCTCCTCCTCCCTCCTCCTCCTCCCTCCTCCTCCTCCTCCTCCACCTCCTCCTCCTCCTCCCCTCCCTCCTCCTCCTCCTCCTCCTCCTCCTCCTCCCTCCTCCGCCTCCTCCTCCTCCTCCCCCTCCTCCCCCTCCTCCTCCTCCTCCTCCTCCTCCTCCTCCTCCTCCTCCTCCTCCTCCTCCTCCCCCTCCTCCTCCTCCTCCTCCTCCTCCTCCTCCCTCGTCCGTTCTCTTCCCTCCTCCTCGCTCGTCCGTCCTCCTCCCTCCTCCCGCCTTCTTCCCCCCCTCCCCTCCCCCCTCCCTCCTGGCTCCAGTTCTGCATCATTTTTCGAGCCAGGTCGATCTGTGCGGTGTCCCGGGGCTCGAACAAAAAGGCGAAAACGCTGGCTCGCAAAGATTGAGTTGCCAGGGACTCAGGGTGATTATCCCCCCTCTCGTCCGACTCGAAACCAGGCCATCGGACAAGTGGAGAAGCAGTCTGGACGCGCACTGCACCGAGACAGCAGCGAAGGGCGGGGCAGGGCGGTCCAGCCGAGCGGCGAATTCGGCGGGGCGCGCTGGAGGACCCCACGGCACTGCTGTACACACGCCGTGCGGACTCTCGCCGCGACCCCTGGCGAAAAGAAGGAGCCGCCGGCCCCAGCGTCAGGTCGGGCGTGTCCCCCTACAGGGGGATTTTGGATGAAAATGTAAAAGTACTACAAAGTGATCAAAAATAGTCAATGGTACCGGAGAAAAAAAAACAATCAGGGCTATAGGGCTAGGGGGGGCTATAGGGATATAGGGCTATATAGGACTATTGAGCTATAGGGCTATAGAGCTGTAGGGCTATAGAGTTGTAGGGCCATAGGGCTATTGGGCTATTGAGCTATAGGGCTGTAGGGCACACCCGGGCACCCCCGGGCACGCCCGGGCACCCGGGCACCCGTGCGTGCGGCGAAAATCGGCGGCAAACCTGACCTAACCATGTGAGTCCGCTAGGACCCCTACAGAGGCAAGCCCTGATTGGGGAACAGATCGTCCCCGGGCGCTTTTTGTTGACTAGGAATGCAGAGGGACCGGCCCGACTGAACCCCAGCGCGGCCAACCAGGCGACCGCGCGTGAGGACGCGGCGACTCGGGAGCGTCCAAGAGGGGGGTGTCCAAGAGGGGGGTGCAAATCATGACCGGCGGCATGTGCGCGGCCCAGCGGGGGGGCCTGGGACGTAATGAAATAAGAAGAGGCGCCATGAGATCTGGGGAAATATCACGGCCCCCGCCATGAGATCCACCCCCCCCCTAGTCATCACCCCCCTCTTTTCCTTTGGACGCCCGAAATGGGTACGGAAAGAATGGGCACTATGCCCAACAACAAATGTTGTACCAAGCCAACAGCGGCCGCTGTTGGGCAGGCGGCCTTCTGTCTCGAATGGACACAGGCCGCGGCGGCGTGGACAGCGAGTCCTGTTCAAAATGAACAGGAACTGCTGTTGGGCATCGTACCCATTCTTTCCGTACCCATTTCGGGCTTTCCGCCCGCGAGGCGACGGGGACGGCGGCACCGCGGGCCGGAGCCGGGGCGGCCAGGCCGAGGCGGGCGCCCCGCGCACTGTACAGATGGGGGGCCCGCTCGGTGCCCGCGGCTCCGCACGAGGAGGAGGAGGAGGAGGAGGAGGAGGAGGAGGAGGAGGAGGAGGAGGAGGAGGAGGAGGAGGGAGGAGGAGGAGGAGGAGGAGGAGGAGGAGGAGGGAGGAGGGAGGAGGAGGAGGAGGAGGAGGAGGAGGAGGAGGAGGAGGAGGAGGAGGAGGAGGAGGAGGAGAGGAGGAGGAGGAGGAGGAGGAGGAGGAGGAAGGAGGGAGGAGGAGGAGGAGGAGGAGGAGGAGGAGGAGGAGGAGGAGGAGGAGGAGGAGGGAGGAGGAGGAGGAGGAGGAGGAGGAGGAGGAGGAGGAGGAGGGGCCTGCGGCAGGGCGCGCGGGGCCCGCGGCGGCGGGCCGCGGAGGCGGAGGGCACCGCGCGGGCGGGCAAGAGGTGCAGGCCATGCCCGCTGCGTCTCGGCGTCTCGGGCAGCTTTTTGCCTCGGAGGCCCCGGGGCGCCGTGGAGGTGCAGTGGCAGAGGCCTGGCCCCTTGTCGGGTGTTGCTAGAGGTGCCCCTGGCCCCAGGTGCCCCCAGGATTTCTTCCAAGGAGGGCCTCCAGAGCGCCCCTCGCGAGGCCCAGAGGGCCCAGGGGCTCCAAAGTTGAGGGAAAAGCTGGGGGTACCTTGGGCCAGGGGCACCTTGAGCAACCCCCGACCTTTTGGGGGGAGCTGGCTCTGCGGCCACATCCACTGCGCCTCGGCCCTGCGGCGCCCCTGCGCAGCGGAGCCCACGACGCAGTGGACACGGATGCAGATCTTGCCCGCAGAGGAGGAGGAGGAGGAGGAGAGCACCGCAGGGGCGAGGGAGGCCCTGGGTGGCCCCGGCCAAGGGGCGAGGCACGGGGCCAGGACGGGGGCAGCGCGGGGGGACCTCGCCCTCGCCCAGACGTCCCTTCCCTGTGCCTGCCCCGGCATCGTGCGCGTGCTCCTCGCAGGCTGCCCCAACGCGTTCCTCGCTTGTCCTCGCCGAGGCAGAATGCACACGCCCGAGCGGTGCCAGGGGGTCTCCGAACTCTGGCGGTGCTGGTGGCGGTTCGGAGCACTGCGGCCCATCTTGGAGCGCTCCAGACGGCTCCGAGAGCGCTCTGGAACGACTTCTCCCGGCCCTCAACCCGCCCGACAGGGTGCCCCTAGCTCTTCTCGCCAGCCTGCAGCTCCTGGGTCAGGAGGCAATCTCTGGGAGGTTTCGCAGGGACGACTGGCGACCTTTCAGCTGGTGAGCAGATTGAAAGCACATCGAGCCCAACATCGAGCCGAGGAAGGGAGCGTGCGCTGCACCAGCGCCGATGCTGAATTCAACCTCCCAAGAAGTGCAACCGAGCCTGGGGCCCTCTGAGCCTTGCAAAGGGTACGGCAAGCTCGTGTCGTGTCGACCCGGGCGATGGTTCCTGACACCGCGGGGATCGCTCAACCTTGAACGATCGGCCGTTTCCGCGACCTCCGATCGTTCAACATCGACCGATTCTGGGCCGCCGCTGGCGTTGAACGTTGAACGCCGTCGGCGTGGTCGCCGCCAGTCGACACGACACGAACCTACCGTACCCTGGAAACCGTCCACATGAGCGACGAAACCTCCTCTTCCTCCACCTCCTCCTCCTCCTCCTCCTCCTCCTCCTCCTCCTCCTCCTCCTCCTCCTCCTCCTCCTCCTCCTCCTCCTCCTCCTCCTCCTCCTCCTCCTCCTCCTCCTCCTCCTTCATCCCTCCCTTTTCTTCTCCTCCTCCTCCTCCTCCTCCTCCTCCTCCTCCTCCTCCTCCTCCTCCTCCTCCTCCTCCTCCTCCTCCTCCTCCTCCTCCTCCTCCTCTTACGCGAGATGGCACGCCGCGGCTCACGCGGGCCGCTGGCGTGGCACGCCGCTCTGGAAACGCAGGCGCCCACGCGCGAACTGCCGCGGGCAGCTTTTGCGCGCCGACGACGGCGCCGTCGGCCCCATTTTTCCTTCCGCGGCTCACCCTCGACGCTCCTGTCGGGGGCGTCCAAGAGGGGGGCGTTCAAGAGGAGCGGGGGGGGGGCACAACTCGTGGCCGGCGGCACGTGCGCGACACAAGCGGGGGGGCGGCCGGGGCAGCATTGAGATAAGAAGAGGCGCCATGAGATCTGGGAAGATCTCATGGCCCCCGCCATGATCCCCCACCCCCTAACCATCAACCTCCTCCTGGCCACCCCCGAACCGAGTAGCTTCAAATTCGCCGGCCCAACGGGCCAGAGGCGTGCTAAGATCTCCGGTAACTGCGTAACAATATTCTACTTCGCGCGCGCGGGGCCGCCCCTGGGTGTCTCCAGGCGAAAAGTACCCCGGCAGGGTCCCGGCAGACTCGGGTCAGAGATGCCGGACCGGGCAATTTTTCGACACCCCTCACGAGGATCGTGGCCTCCGAGGGGGAGCCGCAATCGACTACCCCCCCTCCCGCCCCAAGAGGCCCCCAAGAGCCCCCCAAGAGGCCCTGGGGGCCCCCAAGACGCCGCCAAGGAGCCCCAAGAGACTCCCTAGAGGTCCCCAAGAGGCCCTAAAGAGGGCTCCAGGGCCGGCGGAATGAGCGAAGCGATTAAATAACGGTCCTGGGCCCGTCGGGGAAACCTGGCTGCCGAGAACGGCGGCAGAGACCTCCCGTCGCTGCACTTCCACTGCGAGAGGGTCTTGGCCTCCTCCTCCCCCCCCTCCCCGCCATGATGTCCACCCCCCTGGTCGTCACCCCCCTCTTTGTAGAGGCCTCCTGGACGGGGTCCGAGTAGATGGGGTCGCAGGGTCGCGCCGCATCGCCGATGCATCGCCGATGCATCGGCGACGCATTGGCGATGCACCAGGGACGCTGGCGATGCATCAGCGACGTCGGCTGAGAGCGTGCTCCGAATCGAGCCGCATCGCCGATGCATCGGCGATGCGGCGCGACCCTCCGACCCCATCTGCTCCAACCCCATCCAGGAGGGCCTCCTCCTCCTCCTCCTCCTCCTCCCTCCTCCTCCTCCTCCTCCTCCTCCTCCTCCTCCTCCTCCTCCTCCTCCTCCTCCTCCTCCTCCTCCTCCTCCTCCCCCTCCGACCCCTTGCAGGACGACGTCCCCCCCCTCCGTGCCGCCCCCGATCCTGGGACGCCCCCTGCGACGCCCCGCGGCCAGGAGAGCGCCTCTCGCGGCCACGCCCGCCGCCTCCGCGCGAGGGGGCTGGGCCTTTGTTAGGAACAAGGAAAGGCGACACCAACACCAACAGGGCGAGGAGATGCGAGGAGGCAAGGGGGAACTCCCTGGTGGTGTGGTTCCCTCCTCTCGCTCGAGACATCCCCAGCCTGCAGCTCGGAGAGGCATCGTGGACCTCCTCGCTGGCGGTGGACCCCCTGGTGGTGTTGGTATCGCTTCTCCTTCCTCCGATTTGTGGGCCCCGGAAACGGCAGGGCCGTGTTTTCACCGTTTCCAAAAAAAATGTCCCTTGAAGATAGAAACGGCAAAATAACGGCGACCGGAAGCGGCAACAAAAAACGGCTCCAGGACTGGAACCGGGGCCGGCACCGGTCAAGAAACGGCGCCGGCACCGGCAAAAAAAGCGGCGTCGGAACAACGGCAACAGAACGGCAGAACACGGAACCGGTAACAAAACGGCCCTGCCGTTTCCAGGGCCCACTAAGGGCTGGGCCACGCGGGCCAGGCCGGGCACAGAGGCGGCGGGCCGAGGAGCTGCGCACAGAGGCCTTCAGGACTCGAGGTCGGCTCCGTCGCCGTCCACGGCCGGCGCCTCCGCGGGCAGCGGCGCCACCAGCTCGAACGCCTGGAGGCTCGGGGGCAACCCTGAGACGGAGGGAGGAGGAGGAGGAGGAGGAGGAGGAGGAGGAGGAGGAGGAGGAGGAGGAGATCCTGGCGCCTCCACCACTCTCGGCTGCACTTATAAGAGTGGCCCTGGGCAAGAGGGACCTTTGGCGCGCGGCTTCTTGGGGGGCGCGAGGAGGCCAAACACAAGCGCGCAAGACGCTACTATCGCAACGAGCGCGGCGATCGGGGGACCCCAATGAGCGCGCACCACAGGTCACTCTGGCGAAGGGTCACTCTTACGTGTAGTCGATACTTCGAGCCGGCGTGTTCGCTCTTTTTCGGGCCCCTGGGACCCTCGCAGAACGATCCCGCTCGAAAGATGGTGCAGAAAGATGGGGTCTGGGGCTCGGGGCGTGATTTGTCACGATGTTGCATTTTTGTTTGCTACGAAGGCTCTCAGAAGCCGTCGGCATTCTCCCCTCCACCACCCCCGCACGCGCGCGCAGGCGGCGGCAGGCAGGGGGAGCAGGAACCAGAAGGGAAGGGAGAGGGAGGGGGGGAAGAAGGGGGAAGGATGAGGGAGGGCGGACGAGGGAGGAGGAGGGAAAAGGACGGACGAGGGATGATGAGCAGGCACCCAGAAAAGGGCAACGCCCCCCCTAAGAAAAACGATAACGCCGGAAACCGATCGGAGGAGGAGGGGGAGGAGAAGGAGGAGGAGGAGGACGACGACGACGACGACGAGGTAGAACAAAAATAATAAGGCTGTCGTCTGGCAAACATGGGTGAGGCTGGGCGAGGATGAAGGGGGGAAGAGGAAGAGGGGGGAGGAAGGAGGAGGGGAGGAGGCAGGGAGCGAGGGAGGCTGAGGATGAGGACGAAAAAGGAAGGCGGGAGGAAGGAGGAAGAGGAACTCGAAGACGACATACAGAGGGAGGATGAATGAAGAAGAGGGGAAAGGGAAGCGGACACGTGTTTTGTCTTAGGCTGACATTAAGCCGCAACTGCCGCAAATACAAGTTATCGACGGGGGTACCGACAATGGGGGCGAAAAACTAACGACGCTACAGCGAAAGGCCACTGAGGAATAAACAGGATAGGCTCGCAACCTGCTACACAAAACAGAACATACAGCCCAAACCAAGTTAACAAGTTTTCCAAGATGAAAAAAGTCCCCTGTTTTGGGGACGCGCTCGGGAGAAACGGTCTGGAGGAAGGGGGAAGGACAAATAGGGAGGAGGCAGGAGGAAAGAGGGAAAAGGGTGGACTGAATGGAAGAGAGAACGGACAAGACGCACGAAGGAAGATGGACATGGAACGGAGGGGAAGACAAGGGACACAAATAACGAGAAAGAGGAAGGAACAGTGATGGCGATGCTCTTGATGATGAGCGCAACAGTGATGGTGATGATGATGATGACGATGGCGATGCTGAGGGCGACGATGGTAGTGGTTGGTGTGAAGTTGATGAGAATGATGATGATGGTGATGATGATGATGATGATGATGCTGATGATGATGATGATGATGATGATGATGATGATGATGATGGTGCTGGTGCTTGTGATACTGATGATGATCATCTCTGGACCTCACTGGGCCTGCCGTAGATCTCGAGGAACAGCCGCGCCGCCAGCGCGGCCTCGCAGGGCCGCTGGAAAGAGCCAGCTCACGATCCTGAACACCACCTCGATCGGGGGCACCCGGCGGCTCCTGGGCGGGGCCAGGTGCCGCCATCTGACCGCGGCCTGCTTTCACCACGGGAATAGCAGCTGGCCGCGCCGACTCATGTCTGGGCGCACCCAGGCGATGGCGGCGACGCGGCCGGTTCGCCCCAAGCGCTTCCCCTCGTCGAACATCGCGCGGAGGTATCCGGCGGTCGCCGGGCCTGCCTCGTCGGCCGAACGCGGCGCCGGCAGTTGACTCCTGGCCCAGGCGACGAAGAGGCCGCAGAGCGCTGGGCGCGACCCCGCCCCCCGCCCCGCGCGCGCCGAGGCCGCCGTCAGCACTGGGGCGCCGGCTCGGGCCGCGCAGCGCCGCCCGCGCCCGCGGCGTCTGGAGCCGCGGCCCTGGTGGCGCCGCGGGCCCTGCGGCGGCCCCCGCGGGGGGCCGCGACCTGGCGGGCCAGCGATCGAGGCACGCGGCCTCGCGTGGCAGGGAGAGCCCGCGACGATGGGCCGAGGTCAACGCTGGCCGGCCTTCGGCTTGACCAACCCCAGACGACGCCAAACGCCCTCCAAGGGAGTCGGCGAGAAGCGTCGCAAGCGGGACAAAGCTAAGACAACAATCCGACGACGGAAATAGCTGGGCGAGGCTGATGGTCGTGATCACGCCGCCTATGATACCGCGCCAGCTGTCAGGGGCGTCGCGATCGAGCCCGATGACGCGCCTATCTGCGTTGTGGTCGTGTACCCCAGTGCGTTCGATGATGTCGCGTTTGCCGCCTGCGATCACGCGCTCGATGGCGGGGTACTTACCTGCGTTGGAATTGAGTTCCTTTGCGATGAGCATGGGTGCGTCTACGATAATGCTGCTTCTACCAGCGCGGGATTTGCGGACCTCCTTGCCCGATTTCCCCTCGGCGTCGACGATTCTGTCAGATAGCGCCGCGGGCGAACTCGCCCCTGTCGACGCGCCGCCGGCGACTTAACAAAAAGAGACATAAATAGAGAGAGAGAGAGAGAGAGAGAGAGAGAGAGAGACAGAGAGAAAGAGAGAGAGAGAGAGAACAAAAAAAAAGAGAGAGAGAGAGAGAGAGAGAGAGAGAACAAAAAAAAAGAAAGGAATGAATAAAGAAAGAGAGAAAGAAAGAGAGAGAGAGAGGGCAAGGATTAACCCATATATATATATATATATATATATATGTATATGTATACACACATATACATACATATACATACATATATATATACATATGTGTGAAGACGCGCGCGCTTTAAGGGCCACGCACAGGGAGAGAGAAGAGGAGACTGCGGGTGGCCCCATCGGCCTGGCCTGGGGCACCCCCCACGCCCCCCCCCCCGCCCCCGCGCGCGCGCGCCCGACGACGCGCGATCATGCACATCATCGGGAGGAGGCAGTAGAAGAGGAGATGATGCCGACCTGGCCGGGCAGACCTCGCAGCGACAGCGCCCCTGAGGAGGCGGTCGGAGAGATGCGCTGCACAGGGCAAGACACGCAAGGACGGGATGGATAGTGGGCCGCGACCTGGCGCAGGAGAAGAACATGCCATGCGCCTAACAGCAAACGACCGAGAAATGAAGGAAGACTGAGAGTGCGTCCGTCGACTGAAACCTGTGAGATGGCGAAACAACAGAAGACAAGAGTAGAGTGAGACAGAATGAAGAGCATGTCGATGTGCACTGAGGCCACGAGGCCAACCTCTCCCCGCGCACTACGCGGCCGAGCACGCAGCTGGCACTCGGCTGGCGCAGCGCGCAAGCGACACAAGCGCCGCCCATGAAGCCAAACTGATTCCTCAATATGCGCCCGTAGTGGGCCGACGCACTGACAACGCTCGGCGAGGGCACGCGTCGCGCGCCGCGCAGAAGGTGGCCCTGCAGGGAGGCGGATGAATGTGAGATCGATACAAGTCCGTAGGGCTCGACAACCCACAGGCCCCGGAGCACCGACACAGAGGCCCCGCCGACGCGAGACGATGCGATGTGTAATGAAAGCTCGACGCAAGTCCGCATGGCTCAACTGCCCACGGGCCCCGGCGCACCGACAGAGCGGCAGCGGCCCCCCCCCGACGCGAGACGAGGAGAGAGAGAGAGAGAGAGAGAGAAAAAAAAAAAAAGAGGGGGGGGAAAAAAAAAAAAAAAACTAAGAAAAAATGAAAGAGAAATACGCGTCGCCTCCGCCCAAACGGGCTGCCCCCATCGATTGGGGCCGGGCTCTGGCCGCCTCGGGCACAGCGTGCTCCTTTGTAGGAGGTGCCAAATCGCGGGGGCGCGACCCCCCCGCAGAGGTTCCTTGCGGGGCTGCGACCCCCCCCCCGCAGAGGATCCTTAAGCAGGAGCGAAAAGAAAAAGAGAGAGAGAGAGAGAGAGAGAAAAAAAAAAAAAAAAAATGGAGAGAGAGAGAGAGAGAGAGGAACAAAAAAAATATAAAAAAGGCCGGACCCCAGGCAGACGCGGGGGGGGAGGGGCTCCCACGACCGCCGGAGGCTGCAGGACAGGGACAAGACATAAAAAATAAGGACGAAAGAACGCGCGAGGTAGCCCGTCACACAATGGGGGGCCACCGCGCACGCGCGTCAGCAATGAGAAGAATCGAGGCCCGCACGAGGCCAACGAAGAGGGACCCACGGGAAGGATAACTCTGAAGGCGCAGAGCGAGTCTGCGACACCCGTCATCCACAAACGAACAATCAAAAGCTCAGGGTTCAGCTGCGAGCGCCTACGGGGGCTCTTCCTTGTGCCTGCGCGTAGGGTAGTCCGTCACGCACGGAGAAGAAGAACAAGGGGAGCTCGCTGACTTCTGGACGCTGATCGAGCAGCGCTATTCCCAGACGCGACTCACTGTCTCTGTATAAACGCTGGGAGAGGTGACGCGCAGCAGTTGCCCCCGGCCAATGGCCTACTCTGCACGAGCGGGGGGGCGCCAGTCTCGCGCGGGGCCCGCCGCCGCCCATTCGAGGGAAGCGAAGTCGTAAGCCGAAATCGGGATCACCAGCCTGCAGAAGTGGGCCCGTGCGCCATGCAGCTCTGCCAGGGCGCCGGGATTCCGCGCGCACACGCAGAAGCGCAAGGGAGAAAGAAGACGGGCGTTCAAGGGAAAGAGAACCGTTCGGCATTGCACTGCGGTCAGCAATCGCTCCGAAATCGCCTCTGAATGAGCGCGGTGACAACGCGCACAATCATAAGCAGGATGGAGAGAGAAGGGGTGGACATGTGGATGGGAAGGGAGATGGCAAAGATGGATTGGGATGGCAAGTTACTACAGATGGAGAGAAGAGGGGGGCGTCGTTGTGCACCTGCGGGGATGCAGGACAATGTGAGCTCGACAGCAAATTCCCCCGGCACCTCGGCCTACTCCTCTGCGCCTCTGGGCAGAAACAGGGGAATGCTAAACATAACAGAACTCCGTAGGGCTCGGAGCACCCCGCCACGTGGCGGCGAAAGAACGCGTCGCGAGTCGCATTGCCACTGCACTGAACACGGCCAGCAGCGCGGCAACGAAGAGAAGTACGCGCACGCCGCGCAGGCACCCAAGTCTGCTACAGCAGGGAGCGCGCAAGTGCCGTCGAGAGAGTCACGTCCCGGAGATCCGATAACGAAGAGCCCCAATATATTGTGCAACGGCCTCCTGGAAGGATGGCAACATAATTGCCCGACCCCCCTTCTGGATTCCCGCTGTTGCCCGCGCGCAACCCCCCCAGACTCCACAACGCAATTGCGGACAGACTGGGGCGCATTGCCAATGCCGACAGTGCGAGCGTCAGAACGAACGACTGCTTGGCACGGTCGGCTGCGCCCGCATGCGGATGCAATGAGGGCAATGCGCCTCTTTTACCTTCCCCCGCGGCTTCCACAACATAATTGCAAATAGTTCGGGGCCCACGGGCGACTGCCGCCAAGACGAGAGAACACCGAGCATCCCAAACACAGTTCGAAGGTACCCGAGGGGAAGAGCAGTCGGCGGGGGGCGCGGTACTCCCTGTAGGTGATGTATTCGATGTTGTATTGGTGACATCCCCCCGTGCAGGTGGACGGGTAGGGGAACGCGATCACGTCGAACGTAGAGGGCGCGGCAGGGGGATAACACGGGGCCATGGAAAGATCGTACGTGGAGTCCATGCATGTCCCGATGGGGATGGGAAGTCGTCGCTTTCACGGCAACGGGAGAGCGCCATGGCGGCGCGTGGATGGAAGCCGAAGTCCCACTTCCACCTACAAGGGATGGTGTGCAGAGATAAATGATGCGTTTTCAAGATCGAACACAATGGAAACAAGACGAGCCACTCTCTAGCATGGACACGGGGGTCGGCCGACCCCCGTGCCCCCGAACAAGACGGCAGCGGCGGGGAGACTCAAATCAAGGCAAGATAGTCAAGCTAGGTACGTATCAGAAGGTCCCGCTCGGATCGGAGGAGGAGGAGGAGGAGGGCGAGGCGGAGGCGGGAGGAGGAAGAGGAAGGAAAGAAGAGGATGAAAAAGGAGGGGAGGTGGGCGATGCAGATGGGATCGCCAATCAGCACAAACCAATCACCAAAAAACGAGTGCTCTCATGCGCTCGACTAAACCTGCTACCCGGTGTGTCGTTGACCAGCTTGCGCTGAGCGCTCTCACGGACGGCAAGTCGACAATATAACACCACCATCGTGCGATTAACAAACATCAAGTGGCACGCGTGCCCTGGCCCTTGCACATTTGAGGAGACAAAGAGGAGGAGGGGCGAGGGGGGGGCGAGAGGGCCAGGGGATGGGGGGCCAGAGCCAGGGGGACGGAACCACGAAAATAAAGGGTCCGGGGCGAGGAGGGCCGGGGCCAAGGCCAGGGTCGGGGCGAGTGGGGGTCCAGGGCCAGGGCAGGGGGACTGAAGCTCGGACCAGGGGCCAGAGGTCCGGGTTCAAACTACGAAAATACACGGTCTAGGGCGAGGAGGGCTGAGGCGAAGGCCAGGGTCGGGGCGAGTGGGGCCAAGGCCAGGAAACAAGCTGATTTAAGCCAGGGCCAGAGGGCTGGGGCCCGGACCAGAGGCCAGAGGTCCGGGTTGGGGCGAGGGGGTGAGGTGGGGCGGGCCAGTCAGGGGGACGGGGGCGAGGGGAAGCGGGCCACAGCCAGGGCCAGGGGACGCCAGAGCTAAGGAGGGAGGCTGGGTTCAGGGCCAAGGCAGGAGGACGGGGGCGATGGGGCCAGGGGAAGCAGGCCAGAGCCAGGGGGACGACGACGAACCAGGAAAATAAAGGGTCTGGGGCGAGGGGGGACGCCAGAGCTAAGGAGGGAGGCTGGGTTCAGGGCCAGGGCAGGAGGACGGGGGCGAGGGGGCCAGTGGAAGCAGGCCAGAGCCACGGAGACGACGACAAACCACGAAAAGAAAGGATCCGGGGCGAGGGGGGCTGTGCCAGGGCAAGGGGACGCCAGAGCCAACGAGGAAGGCTCGGTTCAGGGCCAGAACAAGAGGACGTGGGCGAGGGAGCCAGGGGAAGCAGGCCAGAGCCAGGGGGACGACGACGAACCACGAAAATTAGAGGTCTGGGGCGAGGGGGGGGCGCCAGAGCCAAGGAGGGAGGCTGGGTTCAGGGCCAGGACAGGAGGACAGGGGCGAGGGCAGGCCAGAGCCAGGGGGACGACGACGACGAACCACGAAAATAAAGGATCTGGGGCGAGGGGGGCTGGGGCCAAGGCCAGGGGACGCCAGAGCCAAGGAGGGAGGCTGGGTTCAGGGCCACGGCAGGAGGACTGGGGCGAGAGCCAGGGGGACGACGACGCCAGGGCGAGGGGGGCTGGACCAGGGCCGGGGGAGGAGGCTGGGTCCAGGGCCAGGACAAGAGGGCGACGACGAACCAAAACAACGGGTCCAGGGCGAGGGGGGCTGGGGTCAGGGTCAGGGGGGAAGGCAGGGTCCAGGGCCAGGACCAGAGGGACGACGACGGACGGTAATATGGGGTCCAGGGCAAGGGGGACTGGGGCCAGGGCCGCGGGGAGAGGCTGTGTCCAGGGCCAGGGCCAGCGGGGCGAGGGGGGCTGGGGCCAGGACCAAGGGGGGAGGTTGGGTCCAGGGCCAGGACCGGACCAGGGACGACGACGAGCGAGAATAAAGGGTCCAGGGCGAGGGGGACTGGGGCCAGTGCCGGGGGGGGGAGGCTGGGTCCAGGGCCAGGGCCAGCGGGGCGAGGGGGGCCAGGGTCAGGGCCAGGGGGGGAGGTTGGGTCCAGGGCCAGGACCGGACCAGGGACGACGACGAGCGAAAATGAAGGGTCCAGGGCGAGGGGGACTGGGGCAGGGCCGGGGGGGGGAGGCTGGGTCCAGGGCCAGGGCCAGCGGGGCGAGGGGGGCTGGGGCCAGCACCAAGGGGGAAGGTGGGTCCAGGGCCAGGACCGAACCAGGGACGACGACGAGCGAAAATGAAGGGTCCAGGGCGAGGGGGACTGGGGCCAGGGCTGGGGGGGGGGAGGCTGGGTCCAGGGCCAGGGCCAGCGGGCCAGGACCAGGCGGGGAGGTTGGGTCCAGGCCAGGACCGGGCTGGGTCCAGGGCCGGGGCCAGCGGGGCGAGGGGGGCTAGGGCCAGGACCAGGGGGGGAGGTTGGGTCCAGGGCCAGGACCGGACCAGGGGGACGACGACGAACGAAAATCAAGAGGTCCGAGCTCTAGAGCACAGCTGTGCAAGAGAATTCATACATAACAACAATAAGAAGCTGCGCGTGGTCTCGGCTAGGCTATACCATCTCGCAAGCGTGACAGCAAGCCAACACAAATCACCCCCAAAGCCTGTGTTGTCAGATGTCTCCCCACAAGAGGCATCCTGAATGGGGTCGGAGTACAGGAGGTTGGAGGATCGTACCGCATCGCGGATGCGTCAACGACGTCGGCGATGCACTGGCGTCATCGGCGTGGGGAAAATCAGCCACAATATCGAGACGCACCGCCGACGCATGGGCGATGCGGCGCAGTCCTCCGACCCCACCTGCTCGGACCCGATGTGCAGGCAGGGCGCGCCGAAACACCGGCGGCTCAAAATCGGTCCCCAGACCCCTCCCAGATCCGAACGCACCAATGTTCCAAGCTGCGTCCCGCCGTGGCGACGAGGGCCCCCCCCTGGAGGCCAACTGCCGTGGTCTCAACTCGCCCTCCAGTGAGATGTGGGAAACCTGGGCAAGATGAGCGAGCTGCACGGTCTGATCTGACCTGCCTGCGCGCGCAAAAGAAGAGACGGTGCCCGCGAGCGCCTCCAGGGCGCGGCGGCCGAACTGGGAGGCCTCAAAGCAAAGACCGGCCCGACCAGTGTTTGGAATGTCCGTTGCGCTTCCGGGTCCCCTCGTGCTATTTAGGAGGCCACACGCGAACCCTACCCCCCACCCTCCCCCTCAGAACATCTTGGGGGGTAGGGGTAGGGTTCGCGTGTGGCCCCCGTGCTGTCTTTTGCCCCACCCCCTGGCTGCCGAGCGCAACCGAAAACCAAACAAAAAACGGCACCCGGAAGCGCCCAAACACCGCTCGGGTCGAGCCCTGCCCTGCCTCCAGGAAGGGCAGGTGGGCCGCCAGGCGCTCCTCCGCGGGCGCGGGCCGCGGGGGGGGGCAGGATCGGCCGGCCGCGGGTCGGGGAGCGCGCCCGCGCCCGCGCCCCCCCCCGCCCCCCCCCGCCCTCCTCCTGAGGCGCTCGAAGCCGTTTAGTAGAAGGGCCAAGGAGCTCTCGCCAGCCGATGCTCACGTGGTCGGGCGTGTTCCGTCGGCTACACGCAGGAGTGACCCTGGATACGAGTGACCTTTGGTGCGCGGCTGTTGGGGGGCCGCGGGGGGACCAAACACAGGCGCGCAAGGCGCCACTATCGCATCGCGTTCGGTGATCGGGCAACCCCACTGTGCCCGCACCAAAGGTCACTCCAGCGAAAGGTCACTCTTACGTCTTGTCGACTCTGGCCCTGGTCCTCCTCGAGCCCCCGGGGAGGGGGCCTTTTCTGCTTGCAGACGGCAGTTGTGGCTCCTGGCTGTTTCACGGTGGTTGGGCACGGACAACTTGGGCGCCCCTTGTCCTGGGGGGCCATCTTCTATCCGCATGCATCGCGCACGGCGGGTCCCACGTAGCAGAATGCTATGGATTTGACGCTGCATGGTCATTTGGACACACTCGGCCTGACATCGTTCCGCCGCCGCCGCGCCGCCCCCCGCACGCCTCCTCCTCCTCCTCCTCCTCCTCCTCCTCCTCCTCCTCCTCCTCCTCCTCCGTAGCCATTTTGGCTCAAGCAGTTTTGGCTCAAGAGCTGCTCCTTGGGCGCGCGGGCGGGCTCGGCGCACACGGGGAGGCGCCTCTGGGCGCGGTTGGCTACGGTCGGCTGCATAGCTGCCCACGAGGCGGCGGCGCAGCCCGAGGCCGCGGCGGCTGGAGGCTCCCTCTGGCCTGCGCGGCAGGCGCGGCGGGCAGCGGCGCGGCAAGCAGCCTGCGGAAGGCTGGCGGCCGCCCACGTGCGCGTCGAGGCCCTGAGAAGGAGGTGCGCGGGCTGGAGGCGCAGCCCGCAGCGATGCGGGAGCGGCACGCGGAGGCGGCGGAGCAGGCGGTCGGGTTGGCGGAGCGCCAGGGCGACCTCGGCGCTGCGAAGCCCAACGCGGTCTGGCGCAGCGAGATTGTCGCGCGCGTGGCGCTGGCAGTTCCCGTGGTCGAGGAGACGTTGGCGGCTGGCCAGGTCGCTGGCCGTGGCGCGGTTTCTCGGAGGGTGCAGGCGCGGCAGAGGCTGCTGCTGGGGCTGCCAGGGTGGCCCAGGCAGCGGGCGCGCCGCGGGCGAAGGGGCTCGAGAGGGCCAGGCGCAGTGCGCGGCTTGCACTGCCCGTCGCGGCGCGGAGCGAGCATGGCGCGCATGCCGAAGCAGGCGCTGGACCGCCTGCGGCGGGCCGGCGGCGCGGCGGCACCGGGCAGGCGCGCGGCGGCCTGGGAGCCGGCGGGCGTCGGCCCGCGGGCTGCACCGTCGGCGGCCGGCTGCGCGCTCAGCCGTCGAGGCCGCCCCAGCCGACTGGATGGTGGCGGCGCGACGTGGGCGATCCCTGCCTGCGGGGACGAGGCTCGAGCTGGCCCAGCAGGTGCGGCCAGCTGGGAGCGTCGTGGAAGAGCCGCTGGCCGGGGTGGCGCGGTGGTGGACGGCGGCGGCGGAGCAGGCCGGCCGTGCGGCCACCACCCCCGAAGCGATCGCCGTCGAGGACGGGGACGGTGGGCCGCTGAAGGCCGCCAATCCTGCCGCCTCGGAGCCCGCCACGGCGGGGAGCGCGCGCGTGCGACCGAGGCGGCATGCCGTGGAGGAGCAGGGCCCTCAGGCAGGTGGCCGTGTCGTGCAGGCGGTCTCGGTGGACACGCTGCTCGATGGCGACGTGCTCCCGGAGTCCCGCGGCACGCAGAGCTCCGTGGGGGAACCGGGGCAAGACGCTGGAGGCGGGCGAGCGCGTGGTCTCGGAGGTCACGCTGCACGGCGGCGACGCGCTCTCGGAGCCCATCGACGCGCTGAGCTCCACGGGGCACTGGGGCAGTCTGCCGGTGAAGCACGCGGAGCAGGTGAGCTTCGGCGACGTGCTCTCGGGGCCCCGCGGCGCGCGCAGCCCCACGTGGCACCAGGGCAGCATGCCGGAGCAGCAGGAGGAGCAGGCGAGCATCGGCGACGCGCCGTCGGTCCTGGAGGGCACGGTGAGCCTCGGCGGTGCGCTGGACGTGCCCGTGGTGGAGGATCGAGCTCTACCTGGCGCGGTGGGGGGCCGCACAAAAGAAAAAACATGGTGTTGCGTCCGCCGTGCAGGGCATAGAGGAGTTCTCCATCCGCGATGCGGCGGATGCGGGAGACGACAGCGTCGCCCCGGCTGTGCACGGGTCGCCGCCTGTCGCAGCCGCCTCGGTCGTCGCCCTGCCCAACGGCGCGATGAGGCTCCAGGTGCTGCAGATGCACGGGACGGCGGAGTCGGCGGCCCGCGATTGCGACGCCGACCGCGACATCCGCAGGCCTGGACGGCGGCTGGACGCCGCCGACGCGGGCATGCCCGTGCCCATGACGGCGGCGGAGCGCCGTGCTGGGCTCGCGTGGGTTCGGAAGAAACTGAAGGATGAGATCGACTGCGTCGCGGCCCAGGTCGAGGGGGCGGCCACGACGTCGTAGGTGATGATCATGCTGGTGCTTCGCAGTTTTGTGCCACGTCGTCTACGTAGAGGCGAGCTGGGTTGGTGCCGGGCTCCGCGGCGATGCACGTCGGCATAGGTAAGTCCGTCGTGTTCGCGGTGTTCCTCACGGTCGGGGGCCTTGCCCGTCGGGCGGGCCCCCGTGGCCAGGGGTCCTGCCACTCGGTGCAGTACCTCTGTCGGCCCGCTGCGCGAGGGCGCGCGGGCGTGCGGGTGGGGCGGCACCGCTCCTCCTGAGGCTCGCTCCTCCTCCTCCTCCTCCTCCTCCTCCTCCTCCTCCTCCTCCTCCTCCTCCTCCTCCTCCTCCTCCTCCTCCCTGCTCCTCCTCCTCCTCCTCCTCCTCCTCCTCCTCCTCCTCCTCCTCCTCCTCCTCCTCCTCCTCCTCCTCCTCCTCCTCCTCCTCCTCCTCCTCCTCCTCCTCCTCCTCCTCCTCCTCCTCCTCCTCCTCCTCCTCCTCCTCCTCCTCCTCCTCCTCCTCCTCCTCCTCCTCCTCCTCCTCCTCCTCCTCCTCCTCCTCCTCCTCCGCCTCCTCCTCCGCCTCCTCCTCCTCCTCCTCCCTCCTCCTCCTCCTCCTCCTCCTCCTCCTCCTCCTCCTCCTCCTCCCTCCTCCTCCTCCTCCTCCTCCTCCTCCTCCTCCTCCTCCTCCTCCTCCTCCTCCTCCTCCTCCTCCTCCTCCTCCTCCTCCTCCTCCTCCTCCTCCTCCTCCTTTTCGTCCTCGTCCTCGTCCTCGTCCTCCTCCTTTTCGTCCTCGTCCTCGTTCTCCTGTTCTGTTCCATGGCCATAGGGGGGAATGACCCGCAGGCTGCATAATAAATTCACGAACATGCTCGCCACCTGCCGCTATAGTCCTGTCCGTACTCCCCGATGGCGTGGGCGTTGAGGTACGGGTCCAGGGGACACAAGAAACTCGCAAGTTCGGGGGGGATGGTGGGTCACAAGAGGAGTGTCAACGACGCGGACCTCACCCCCTATCTCAGCTTCTGACGACACGCGTCGTAAAATGCCGAGCTAAGAAAGTACACAGATCAGCTGGGTACTGTTTGGCCTGCTGTGTTTCCCAGCGGCCATGCTCATTCTTGCCCTGCATGATGTCATGCCCCGCTCTGTGGCAGCATCGGCCTCGGCGGGGCATCTGATTGATTTCATGGCCAAGACTAGGAAGATTTGTCAGAAACTGGGTCGGTTTCGTCGTCTGCGCACCGAAGGAACATTGGCCTAACCAGATCAGGTCGACACTAAGTCCTCGTTCTTTGAGAGCTCGCATACGCATAGTTTCCTTCAGAAACCATGAGCTCGGAGCCTCGTGATTCAAAGGGACTGCTGGGTGTTCCAGCACTCCACAAGCACCGGTGGCAAAACTGACGTACATGATGAAATACAGGGCACTTCGGTACAGATCATTAGCTGTAGCAAAATGTCGCCATTCCTTTGCGGTGCCAAGTGGTCGTCCCCAAAGAAACCGTAGAGAACGGAGTGGCCTAGCAGTCGGGCCCTCTGAGACTTCCACATGCCGAACTGCTGACCATGTCTCGCACGGTGGTCCAACTATAACACCGACGGCACGGGCATCAAAAAACAAGTTGGTCAGTTTCTCGCGTGCTTTTGGCGATCTGAGATCAACGTTCAGTGGGTCGTTGACGATATCAATGGAAAGCACTACTACAGGGCCTACATCAAGGCCTAACTTCTGAAACGATTCGAAACAATCCTGGAACTCCTCGCGCCGCCTCTGTCCACTGAAAAGGTGAAGCACGTAGCGGGTCTCGCTGGGCCCCAGACGGCTTGGGTTCTCAGGAGGCCCAAAGTTTGCGCCACTAGGGCGCTGAACCTCTTCAACTCTGAAATCGGGGGGGGAGGCGGAGGAGGAGGAGGAGGCTCCCCAATCCCAGCGGCCCGCGAGAGCCCCTCCCCAAGGACGGATCCAACAGGAGCCTCGGCCTCAGTCGCCCTCAGGCCCCGAACCTTGAGCGCCGTCGCATGGTTCCTATCTTCAATACGAAGCGCTTCGTACAGATCATCCGGCATGGGTTCCTCGGCTTCTTGTTCTTTTTATTATGGTTATTCTTCTTGCGGTCGAAATATGGATTGGCTGTGTCCTTGAAATTCTGCACTAGGAATTCCCAATGGTCGTCTGTGGTGTCATCCGCTGCCAGGCGCTGTAATGTACCTCGGATTGTGGTGAGGTTGGCCTCCAGCGATTCGATGAGCTCGCGACGGCGCGCTCCCGTCTACAATGAGTTGTGCCATATTGTCGTCGTCCCAGAGGTGCGCTCCGAATCCGTGAAGATGTTGGGCATGATGACGCCGGGAAGGGTGACCAGCGGCGCGTGGTCCCTCGGCACGCTGTCGTTGATCAGCTGTAGTGCCTTGGCGGCTTTCCACCAGACCTGGCACGACCGAGTGTCCACGCGGAGTCCCTGTGGGATAGCTATGTAGTCGGGCCGCGTAGTTTGACCTTGCGCTACGAATGAGGTCGGCCCTGCCTGCCAGAGACAGTTGACGATGCACATACCGTGGACGTCGAGCATGTTGTGGAAGGCTGCGGCTGCTTCCCCTGGTACTCTTGCTGGCCCTGCGTCGCCGATGACATTGCTTGGAGTTGCAGGGATGAGGCCGTCGAGCCCGTACTGGTCATTGAGGTCGGGGCCGGTGCTTGCTTGCTCCTCGCTGGTGTCGCGTTGAATGTCTTGTTGGTCCACTTGAGTTTCGTTGACCAGCTTGATCCACGCGTTGTGCTGCGCTGCGGGCCTGGACCGCGGTGCAAGGCACGCCACGATGAAGGTGCTCCTGCACGTCCTCGGATACTGGCAGGGGGCACGGCAGCTCGGTTATACACTTGGCGCGGTAGCGGTTGCTGATCATGATGGCGACCCCCGCATAGTTGTTGGTGAGCGGGCCCCTGCTATATCCCCAGGTGAAGATGCGGCGCTTGTAGGTCTGGAGCTGATCCACGGTGCTGCTGGCGTCGTGCTGTCTCCATCGCAATGCTGGTAACATAACGACATCCACTGCACTGAACTGATACGAACTCTCCATGCTTCTGAATGGTGCCACTATCGGGAGAGGATTGTACACTGCCCATCCCATGGACGACAGCCAGATGGATGAAACAAGAAATGAAACTGGCCAGCCGCGCTGGCATGACACGAAGGTGCCCTGAGGGCGGAAGCTGCTCTGGAGGACGAGGAGGAGGGGGTAGGGGCCAAGCTAGGTGCGCTCACGTCATATCTGACGTCCTACCCCTCCCTCCCATCCCTGACCATGACGTAGATGCCCTCTATTCGCACAATCGGATGTCGCAGCATGGCATGGCATGACACGGCATAGGACGGTGTCGAATATCAACGCGCACCATGACATAGCACGGCGTGGCGACGCCCCAAGGTGGGGGGGGCTTCTGCGGCCCAGAAAATGAACAGATCGTCGCCGAATGTGCAATCACTTCCGATCGTGTCGTCGGGAGGCAATGTTATAGATGTTGGGACCTCTGTGGAGGGACCGAAAACCATGCTGGTGCATGGCACTCGAAATAATGACGCCAACGCAGCAGCGGGAGCACGATTCGGAACGAGCGGAAGCGCGGAGATGAGACCAGCGCTGCAGCAGCAGCACGATTCGGAACGAGAGATAGCCCGAACATGAGGCCAGCGCTTCAGCGAGAGCAGATTTTGAAAAAAACGCACTCGAAAACCCAACTCTCGGGATTCCTGCGTGAAAACTCACACGAGGAAGGGGGGCGGGGCACACCCCAGACGCCACCAGGGGAGAGGGGAGAGCAGTACTGATGTTGTAAAATTGCTCGCCTTCTGGGTCTGCCCCCTCCCCCCGCCGAGAGCCCCCTCCCCCAGGCCCTCCATCGGTGCCGTGCTCCTGCACCATCGCGCGGCTCACCGCGTCGCGGAGCTCGGACAGCTGCCGCACGACGTGGCAGCCGTAGCGGTTGCAGGCGACCTCGCCACGAGCGGAGAGAAGGGAAAGGAGGGCAACGAGGGGGCGGGGAGGAGGAGGAGGAGGAGGAGGAGGAGGAGGAGGAGGAGGAGGAGAAGGAGGAGGAGAAGGACGAGGGGGAAGGGGAAGAGGAGGAGGAGGAGGAGAGGAGAGGAGGAGAGGAGAGAGAAGGAGGAGAAGGAGGAGGAGGAAGAGGAGATGGAGGAGGAGGAAGAGAGGGGGAATGGGGCAGGAGGAGGAGGAGGAGGGAGGAGGAGGAGAGGAGGAGGGGAGGAGGAGGAGGAGGAGGAGGAGGAGGAGAAGGAGGAGGAGGGGAGGAGGAGGAGCAGGAGGCTCGGAGGAGGAGAAGGAAGCAGGAGGAGGAGGGAGGAGGAGGAGGAGGAGGAGAAGGAGGAGGAGGAGGACGAGGGGGAAGGGGAAGATGGGGAGGAGGAGGCGGAGACGAGGAGGAGGAGGAGGAGGAGGAGGAGGAGGAGGAGGAGGAGGAAGAGGAGGAGGAGGAGGAGGAAGAGAGGGGGAGAATGGGGCAGGAGGAGGAGGAGGAGGAGGAGGAGGAGGAGAGGAGAACGAACGAACGAACGACTCTGCAGAAGGGTGCCAGAAGATCCTGCCGTAACGCGGGGAACTCCGAAGCAAAATAATGTAAGCTCCGAACTGACTCCCTTCTAGAGGGCGCGGTGACTCAATATATACTGGTCACGCGTGGCACTAGGTGCACTCTGCTCCCGCCCACCTTACCCCACCTCGGCTGGAGGGCCCCAAAGCTTTAAAGGCAGGGCTCGGCCGTGGGGTCGTGGGTCGAAACTGGGACAAAACTACGAGGCGCCAAAACAGAAAACGCAGAGCAGGGAGGCCCAGTATTATCAGTCAGAGCCTCGCCTCTCGTAATTCAGGAAACAGGCCCGCTACGACTCAGGCAAGCTCGTGGCCCCGAGGGGCCACAGAACACACAAAGCTAAAAAGTTACGGCCCTGGGGGAGGGCCGTCTCGCTTTCTGAGACCTAGAAGACCCATGACTCTGACGAGAGGGATCGGGGGAGTGGGAGGGGGAGGAGACAGGTCGGGGGAGGCGGCAGCGACGGCGAGATTATTCGGCCTAATCGAAGTCATCGGACCAGGAGTAGCCGAACTCCCTGTAGACGTGGCCGAGGGGAGAGGACGAGTAGCTCTCTGGGGTCTCGGAGATCTTGATCTCCCCTCCGTCCGAGCCGCCCTCAGGGAAGCTGCCAAGGTAAGTGGGCGAGAAGGGGTGGCTCTCAACGGTGTGGTCAAAGTCGCCAATCGACCAGTCGATAGCCTCTGCGGTGCGAGCCCCAGTACTGCTTCGGACCCGCTAGGCCGGTACTCTCTGCTCTCTCGAGTCCGCTCGGAGAGTGAGCAGTGCGTGCCTGCGGGCCCTGGCGAGTCGGACCTGCAAGGTCGGTACTCTCTGCCTCCGAGCTGCGGCTCGGGAGGTGAGCAGTGCGTGCCTGCAGGCCCTTCTCTCCTCGCTGCGTCCAGCAGCCTGGCAACTACTGCGCGTCGAGATGAATCTGCAGCAGCCTGGCATTGTGGGAGCGAGGTGGCGCACCGTGTTTGTGAACTCCTCCGAGCTGCACCAGAGCGGCTACGACTGTGTCCTCTATGCCTGTCGCTTTGGCCTCTATCCATATCTTGACTTTGTCCTGGGCGTGAGTCGTCTGCAGCCTGCAATGCCGAACCTGGTCGGCCAGCTCTCCGTTGGAAGCAGGTGCGGCCTTCATGCGATCCTGGTACTCCTTGATTATCCTCGCGTTGGCCTGGCCCACCTTGTCTCCTTGTCCCACGAGTGCGCCCACCAGCGCGACCCACACGTGCGGATGGGGGATCCCCAGCGCCTCTAACTCGGGGACGGGGTCGCCGTTCTTGAGGGCGGCCTGATTCGCCTCTCGAAGTCTCTTGGCCTCCTGCCCGTAGTACCGCGCCGTGAGCATCATCGACTGGGGCACATCGTGGTTGGCAGGGAGCTGGACATGCCGGAAGATGGCCGACTCGAGGGCGTTGATCGCTTGCTCGTGCCTGAGGGACATGCGCATCAGGATGGGCATCATCTGCTGCACCTGCGCGATCGGGATGTGCGGTAGGTTCCTGACGTCGTCTTCTCGCAGCCCGTAGTGGTTGTCTGTAGCGCCCCATACGTCGATCTGCAGCGGGGGCTGACCTGCTCCTGGCGTCGCGGCCGCGGGTCCCGCTCCTCTCTGCTGCGAAGGGGCTCCCCGTGCTCCTCGTCCTCGGCGGTCTCCACTCCGAGTCCGATCTCCTCGCCCACCTTCGAGATCGCGTCGCCTCTGTTCCGTCCCAGTGGCGAGAGCCCGCTCCGCCAGGTTCGACATCCAGCACCAAATCTGGGGCGGGCGGTGCGTGGGCTTCTCGGATGTGTGTCTGAAGTGCCTGCAGCGTCTGAAACGGCTCTTGAGCCAGTGTGGCCTCGGTCATTCTCTCTCTGAAAGCCTCGTGTGCTGACTCTGGATCCACGCAGATCGGACAGTGAAGGTCATCGGGCACAACCAGGGGGGGTGAAAACGCACTGAAATCTGTGAGGCAGCGGCGACGGCGAAGTGACTGCACCACGTGCCTCTTGGCCAGCACCACAGACGAAAAGGTAGAGGAGCAGCAACAGCACTGGTTAGTCACCACAAGCTGGTGCATCGGGACCCTGATCTTGTGCGACGGGTGGTGGCACTGATGAGCTCTCAAGGCCGCTCTGGAGTAGAAGACGTGCCCACAGGGGTCCCCGTTCTCGCCTGGGAGGTCACAGTAGTATTCTTGAGGAGGGGCTTCAGGGACTGGTGGAACCTCTGGTGGTACCCCGTGCTGAGGAGGAGGCCGAAGGGGTCCTTCCTGCTCCTGTTCCCAGTAGGCCTTCCGTAAACTCTTGATACTCACGCTCTTGAAGTGGCACGCGACGCGGTAATTCGTGAAGATGTCCCAGATCGAATAGCCTCTTTCCAGGAACTGGCGCCCAGTGGGGATGACCGAGAGGAGCTTGATATCTTGCTGGAGCTGGAGGGCCCACGGGTTAGCGCCAGGCCTGATCCAACCTTCGGGGGTGAACGTCGGAGACTCGCCCAGCGAAGTAAAGTGCCCGAAGAGCGCCGCAACAACCTGAACCGAGTCTGCGGGATTCACCGCCAGGCGCTGCCAGTAGCCAAGTCGCCTGATGAGTAGCTCTGTCCTCGAGTCGGCGATGCGCAACCTCTTATGCATGACTCTCGCCGATGGTGTCCTAATCCTATCTCCCTCAGGCCCTACCCTCCTGGCAACACCTCTCATCGCCACCTTCGCGAATCCCAAGATCACCGAGTCGAGCTTGGCATAGTCTTTCTTACCTAGGATATAGACCTCGAGGCCCGAGTAGGCCGCACTGTGGATAATTCCCAAGAAAGCCATCCTCTTAAGCTTCAAAGACGAGTGCTGGTTCCAGAACCTCCCGAGCTTTGACCAGGCAGAGCGCGTAGCGTCGACACGTAGTTTTACTTCCGCACCCGATCCTCCCGTCAAGTGCTCGAGTCCTCCGAGGTAGATGGTTTCAGCTCGAGTTTGCCCTGGGAACTGGACGAGTCCTGAGAGTACGGCCCTTGTAGCCGTGTATCCCCCTGGGCCAACAAAGACTGGGAGGATGATCTCCTTGTCTACATTCTGAGCGAACCCTCCTATCTCCTCGAGCTGATCAGACAAGATACGAGACGACAATTTTGCCCTCTCCGCTGCGTGGACGGGATTGCCATTCGGCAGCGGCAGGGTCTGCGATACGTCGTCGGCGTAGTCGCGCATGGAGATGTCGATCTGCTCGGAGTGGATGGGCGAGTCAATCAGCGTCGCCGCCTCCATCATCGGTACCGAGCCGCCACTCTCCGTCTCTAAGGTGGCCTGGGTGCCCTGTAGGAGTATCTGGTTCCACACCTCCAGCGGCTTGACGAACGACCTCACGAACAGCTCGCACGCATTACCGTCGCCCATGCCCGTGCCGTGGGTGGGTTGGAAGAAGCCTTTTTCTTCTCCTGCCTCCACCTCAATGACGGCCTCGCGAATCCTCTGGAGCAAGAAGAGTTGGTCCTGCATGTCGGGGATCACTTCCCCAATCACCTGCTCCAGGATGTCATGATCTGTCGATGGGAACGCATTGCTCATATCTTTCTTGATCTGCAGGTGCGATACGAGCTTCTTTCGTAATCTCCACGAGTGAAGTTTAGCCACCAGCTGTGCGCTCTGCCTCGACCTGTGCGCTGCATATCCATGTGCGTGCAATGGAAGTCTTGGGCGTTCGTGTCTTACAAATATGCCCCTGTACCAAGCTTTGCCGAACGGGCAGTAGCAGTGAATGAGTATCATCGCTTTGGTGCCCCTCTTGTCATTCCCCTTGCTCAACTGGAACGTCTTTGACCAGTGCCACTGGTATGGTGTGCGACACGTATTCCGAATCTGCCTCAGTATCTCAAAAATGCGCTCCGCCAGTCTTGGGCAAGGGACGTGAACTCGCTGTCTTCTCACTTGTGGATCTTCTTCTGGTGGTTCGCCCCTGGCTTCTTGAGTAGCCGCCCTCATCGCCATGAGCCACACCTCGCAGGGGGCGGAGTGCGGGGGGGAGTACCTGCGCCTGGCCGCCTTCTCAAGGCAGAGCAGCGTGTTCGTCCAGTCGTCGTAGGCGGCTGACCCTGGTCGTCCTCTCAATTCTTTCCACTCTCCATCAGGATCCTCCATCTCTCTTGAAGCCAGTGCCACGCTGCGAGGGATGCCTGGTCCTCGTAGTCGAACAGCCGAGAATCCACCCTCCTTCGCGTCGGACTCCAGCGTGTCCTGCCACTCTTGCAACGTCGGGGCGTACGTAGGGATCAGATTGAAGCGTCTTCTCCTCACCCCGTGGTAACGCGCCCCGATCTGAAAGGCGATCTTCCATACCGAGCTGGTGTGGCCACGGTCCGAAGCCTCTTGTGCCTCCTTCAGCAGCGCCTCGACGTTCTCTCTGTCCAGCCTGCTGCGTGCCC